GTATGAAAGAACGTACGTAATATAATATTTGTGATGATAGAAATTGGTTCAAGTACGACTTATAGGAATAGCTTATTACTCTGACCGGTCTGACTAGTTATCGGATAATGGAGCAAGGCTATTGAAGTATTTATAGAATAAAGAAAACTATCGGCATGCCTCTGACAGTATCCTTCGACAATATGGCCACTTTAAGATGGATCAAAGGTCACGCTATATCGAAAGGTAACCGTCCTGCTGATTTACTAGCCAAGATAGCAGCTAACTAAATACTTTTTGGACCTTCTATTGGACTGACAAAATCGGTAGTGACAAACCTAATCAAAGAACATTCCCTTGTGTAATTCAAGGAAAGATTAAATAAAACAAGAAGCTGCAGAGTTGCCTGGGAACTCCTAAGCAAACAAATACTAGACAGAATCTGCGCCTGATGACAGGCATCTAACTAGTCATTGCCAAGAAGTACAAAAGAATCTTCATTGTTTAGCGCTATCAGAATACGCACTCTGCAGTGAGTGCGAATAAGAAGATGAGACCATCGAGCATATTCTCTACGAATGCCCGATGCCCTCATTTATAAGATTCTTGTTCAGCGAGAATTTGCTAACACCGGATGATATAAGAGAAGCCAAAAGCTGCTAGAACTGTTTAGCTAGAACAGCTTGATTGGAATGTGAATTCTTAATATTATTATACTTTTTACACAGAAGTCTGTGAAGAGTATTATAGGTTTCCTTTCAAAAAACAAACATTTTTAATATTGATCCAAATTTATAAAATTTTAAACAACTTTTCAAAATGTCCGCCGTTCGATGTCACGTTTATTTTCCGCACAAGTCAAGAAAAAATATATCAACCTGAAATATTTAAAGGAAAGCAAGCTCTATAAAAGGATGAAGCCTATTAATTTTGAAAAAAAGAAATCTATTAAATGGGGAGTTAAAAGGGAATTGAAATTAAAAGAAAATCAAATATGGAAAACGATATCAAATTAAAATTTTCAGAAAGGACAAGTTCTGTAAGGGAACGAAGCCTATGAATAATTTTTTTTTTTGTTAGTGGCACTGGATATAAACCAAACAGGCCAGTCAATTGTTAGGTGAACAAATAAAAATATCATATAACAAACTTTATTATTTTACAAATTATATTAAAGTTGCTCTACCTTAATAACTAAAAATAACCTCAACTTAATAAGGTTTAAATGTTTTTTTTTATTTTTGTTTTTTTTTTATTTTTTTGTTTTTTTTTGTTTTTTTTTTTCTATTTTCTCTATTTTTTCTTTTTCCTCTTCTGTCTTTATTTTTTTTTCTTTTCTTAACAATTACTACTTACATGTTTTATTTCTATTTCCTAATTACAATTTTAATTTGAGTGTTTTGACAAAATTATAGAGTATGTTATATATACTGTCAAATGTCAGTAGATTTTTTAAATTTATAGGTAACTGAATTTTGTTGTTAATTAAGTTTTGGTATAATAAATTAATTTCTAAATCGTTTAGAATACAATCCAAAAATATATGTTGTAAGTCAGCAATCTCATCACAAATACACAAATCATTATCTATTAGACCTATTCGCTTCATATATTGAGGGTATAAAGCATGGTTAGTTCTAATTCTGCTAATCGTTTGGATTAGTGGTCTATTTGAGAGCTTATCAAACCACGGTTTTACCCTTATATTAGGTTGAATAGATTTATAAAAATTACCTGTTTCCTTCTCTACATATTTTGCTTGCCAATTTTGATCCCTTTTATATTTGAAACAAGTATTTAGATCGGATAGTGACATTTTAAAATTACTTATGTAATTAAGTTTTGTTGCAGTTTTAGCCAAAAAGTCTACTTTTTCATTATTAGGTATCCCCATATGGGCTTTGACCCAAGATATGTATATTAGTTTATCCTGATTTCTTGCCTCAAAATTTAGTTTTAAAATGTCCAGAATTATGTAATTAACTTTAAAATTGAAATTAAAATTTTGAAACTTTTGAACTAAACTTTTGCAGTCTGTGAAAATGACAAAATTTAATTCCTCTTGATTTAGACATAACGAAAAGGCTTCTCTAATTGCTAATATTTCTGCACTATAAACTGACATACAATTTGGCAAACGTTTTAAAATTTGAATCTCTTTATTGGAATAATATAAAGCGTAACCTACTTGATTATTTAATTTAGAACCATCAGTGTGTTTCATAATGTTTCCATTTTGTATTTAATTCTTCATAAACATTTGTCTTTATTAGTAAAGGGTTGTCAACGTCGAATTTATTATTAATATAACTATTAACTGGAGGGAGGAGGTTGAAATCTAAAAAAAATCATTATTCAAAAACGAAAAGCGATAAATTTTTATTAAAAATCAAGCTGTTTAAGCAGATGAAGGCCGTTGACTCTAAAAAAAAATAATAAAAATGAGAGGATTAAGGAAGGTTGAATATTAATTAAAACTCAAACTCAAAAAATGATACTTAAAATTTTTTGCAAAGATCAAGTTCTATACCCCTTATAGAAGCTATCGATTTTGAAAAAATTGTGTAAAAATGGAAAATTAAGGGAAGTTGATATTAAAATAAAAAATAAGAAAACGATATCAACTTGAAATCTTTAGGAAAAATCAAGCTCTATGAAGGCATAAAGCCTATTGAATTTGAAAAATCTGATTAAAAGTCCCCCTTTTTAAGAGAGGTCTGTCAAACTGCCAAAAGTATAATATAGAATGCCAAGTTTTTATCTTCATTCTTATTACTCAATGTATATTATGTTATTCCGAAAATTTCTTGATGAAATATAAATAATCGGTTGGGTGGAAAAATATTGAGACTCTCCAAGATTTATTCTCCTCTGTTTTTCAAAAAAGTCTTATTTATTTTCCTTAAAAAGATTTGATTACATCCACAACAAATGGTTTTACTATGACTATTAACCAATATTTCCGAAAATATTTTGGTATAGTTTACAATAAACAAAAAGTTAGCGCTGACCTTGCGCCATTTCTGTCTTGTCAATTAAAACTCTTGGCGGTCAGCATGTTGGGGTTAACATTTATTAATCACGATACTATATCTAGGGTTTCTGAGATCTATGAATTGCTATAACAAATTTCAAGCTACGCCACTGAAATCAACAAAAATTAGATTCCTACAGGTCTTCGAATGGTTGAGTTCGCTAAAAAATAGTAGTCTCATAGACTCAAGATTTGCATGCAGAGTACTGTAATCTACATAGCTGTGGATAGGAATAGACAAAGCTGAAAAAAAAAATCGTTAATATATAAAAGATATAAAACCTGAACATTTTATTTTCCTCTTACCCATACAGCACAAACACATTTCGGAAATATTTCAAAAATATTACATTGAAACATTTGTAATATTATGAAACATCCCAAAAACATTTCTGAAATGTGCCTGAATCGTAAAAATGTCCTGTAAATATAATATTTCACAGTAATATTTCTGAAATAAAAATTTGAAATCTTTTATAAATATTAAATAGTAATATTTCATAAATGTATTCTAGATGAGTAAAAAAATACATTCATAAATATACATGTTTATTTAAAATACACAAAACTCAAACATTGATTCTTAAACAAATAAATAAATAATTTTTAAACATTATTTCATAAAATATAAAGGCAAATCGCTTCATTTCCACAAATTCCTTTATATGCACTAATCTGAAACAAATAGTTTTTTTTAATAAATACCCCAAGTAAAGAAACATTTACGATTATTTCATTCTGATCATTAAGATCAATTAGCAATTCTATTCTAATGTAACTTATCAAGGGATGAAAAACTTTATAAACTAATATTCTACTCACTAGTATACCTTAGAGTCTAATTATTTAGTTACACTACCGTTAACATCATTGAACTAACTTAAAAGGCTTGGTTCTCTTGAGTCTTCTTATTAGATTGGCATTGTTGAGGAGCTGGATAATCTTGAGGTTTCCATGTTGGAGCAGTCGTTGTTGGTGACTACTGGCAAATTTTTGTATTGAACTTTCAACAGTCTCCACTTTAAGGTCCCTATGAAGATCAGCATTGTGGCAGTACCAGGGTGCATCGACGATGTTCCTTAATAGTTTATTCTGAAAACGTTGAATAACTTCGATGTTACTTTTACTGGCACATCCCCAAAGCTGGCTAATTGGTTCATTTTCACCAATTCCTTTAAATGCACTAATCTGAAACAAATTATAGGTAATTAAAAAGGTCTATTAATATTGTTTTAAATTAACTATAATAAAACAAACAATACTCATGCATAATTTTCAATCAGCTGTAGAACTGATAAATAAAACTGATGGAGGGACAGCAAATGTAGGTTATATTTAAATAGAAATAAGAATATAAAATGCCTATAAATTTGATAAATGAAATGGCGTCACTCGTTTCAGAGAAGAGATAAAGCTGATAAACCTAACCTAAACAAGTATTGTAATACTCGCCTCAATTTCTTAAGACATATTCTGCCTATTCTGCTTCCCATATAACAACGGCAAAACGCATAAATAACAAAAAAAGGAGATGACAAAAACCGACAACTCAAATCTATATTTAGAACATAGAGTTGTCTCTGGCTGGACAGGATGAAATAAAATTACTACATATCACATCTTGATCTTCTTACAAATCAGAAATTCTTCATTAAATATTGGCCTTTTGCAACATAACCCGTTTAGTAACCTCTTGTGTAACATGTATACCATGTTTTAGAAACATTCTCAGTGAACTATTTAACTAAAATATTTCAGAAACTTGTGCTGAAATGTTATATATTTGAAACGTTTGAAATATTTCTAAAACATTTCTGAAATAATGTGTGCTCTATGGGTAATTAGATCTAAGTTATTAGACAAATAGAAAAACATCTAAAATGTTTTTGTTTTAGTAATTTATGATCCACTATTTTGTAACTTTAAATTTAGTAGACGCCATAGTGTTACTTGTATGTATTTTCAACTTTTTTTTTTTTTTTTTCAGAAATCGACTTAAGTTTTCCTCATAGAGAAGTACAAATTCAGAGAGGAATTGACCCCAAAGATTTATTTACATTAGAAGAGGAAATAGGAAGGTAATTATATCTAGTTACTATACAAATAATTATACAAGTAATTTTATAGAGTCGATAAGGTAAAACTGCAATATTTGTAATTTATTATTTGTTTTCGTCGCCGTCAAAATATTTCCCACACTATCGCATTATGTCTTTTAATTACAACAATATGTCTAAAAATATGAATCTCGGTCATAAACGTATATTTATACAAAATCATAATTATTGTTGTTCAATAGCCCAATTGGAGAGGTCCCAATTTAAATTAATATGTGATTGATAGTTTGTATAAAAAAGTTTAGGACCGGAATTTTGGGTGAGATTTGTCGACGGAAGTCGGTAAAGCAAGAGTAGAAATTGTATACACATCATTGTGCAAAGCACTATATCGTATTCTCCTTTTAGCCGATGATAAGTCATGTACATGTAAATGGGTTGAATGTACAAATCTTGTTGCTATTATTGCTGCTGGAACAGCAAAAAAGAGAAAAGTACAAAGCACAATACAAATTTCTTTCACCTCTGCTCCCACAAATTACAACCATTTAAGTTACTGGCACGTTGAAATTAATTCACTATATAAGTCAAATATAATCTATTTTATTTTTATTGCACACCATTTTACCCTTATTTCTTCTAGTAACCTATGTTTCTAATGTTCTCAAATAAAATGAGCAACTTAGTTATAAGGACGAAACTGATATCAAAACTGAAGAGTATTTTTGTTTCAAATCCACTCTTAAAATCGCAAATTTTTTGTTTTTAAAGCTATAGAATGTATAAACTATTACGATTAATATTATAAACAAAAGTTTATGTGCCTAGTATATTATTATTTGACGAATTAGAGGTTCTCTTCGCGTGGGAGCGAGTTTTTAACCGGATTTATGACAGTTGACAGATTATATTCTATTCATAAACAGTCAGCGGAATAAAAGATGCGCATCTTGTTTATTTATAGTGATCTTCTTCCCACCTAGGGAGTGTCATTACTGATTGCTGGTTAAACCGGGGTGGGGTATTAGTTTGACTATATTCGCTACAATTATCTTCTTCATAACAGAGACAACAGAGACGTGTAACTTAATAGGAAAATATGTTCGGTGGTCCATTTAAATTACATATATGACCCTCTTTTTCTTTTACATTGATCTTTACATATGTCTATCTCTCTCCAATAAAACTAACACCATTTTCAGAGGGCGCTGGTGTTGCTGGTTTTTTGACGTAGAAATATCGATTAAAAGTATTAAAACTGACAACTGACAATGTTATGAATGTTGTTATGAACATGTGCATTTTATTAAAATTAATTTAATTTGGGCCCCGTATATTTCTTTTAGTCTGATTTTGTTGTTTAATTAATTTTCTTTGGGGGGGAATGTTTATTTTTGCATATTATTTTTTGCATGAAGCAATTTCTGGAACCAAACTCGCTTTTTTGTAAACATTTCTTTCTAGAGGTAAGTAATTTCCAATTAATTAAGAAAACCACTGTATAATGTGTGTGTTTAATAATATATTACACAATGACCAGAGTTGGGTCGGATACAGGAAAAAAGTATCCGAGTGCCGGATACGGATACTTACAATGTATCCGGATACTTTTTAGGATACTTTCACCTAAAAAGTACTCGGATACAAGTATCCGGATACTTTTTTCGGATACTTTAAAGGATACTTTTAGGGATACTTTTAAAGTGAGTTAAAATAATGTTTTCATACCAATAGCTATAATTATGCAATAAGATTGAGTACGAGAAACAATAAACAATACTAGGCATAAATAACTTATCGAAAATGGAAAGCGATATAATAGAAACAGGAAAAAACTACTCTATAAATTGTTTATTATTTTTATTCTGTGAATATAAAACATTAAAACAAAATTGACAATAAAACATAAAGGTGCGTGTAAATAATACGAGTCGCGCCTGAATCGCGCCAAAAACCAGCCAGTGTCATGTCCATATAAATCTAAAGAAATAAGCTTGTTGTTGGCGCGACTTGCCATTTTTATATAACCTTTCGATATTCTCGTCAATGTCAGATGTTTTTTTTCTCCTGGGCTCGTCTGACTATGTATCTCCGAATAACACTGAAGCCTATTGGCTTATTGTATTTTACTCCATGTTAGTTTATAGCACCCACTCTGTCACCTTTGTACCTTGTACAAGCTTGTACAGATCCTTGGGTGGGCGGGTTCTATACGTTGTTGGATCAACCTGGGGTTGTCCAAAAAGAGCCTGTCTTTTGCGATCTAGAGCTTCGCATTCGCACAGTATGTGTTTGGCCGTTTCTGGTTTCTTGTGACATAGTCGGCACATGAGTTCCCTATTGTACATGCCAATTTTGTTCAAGTGTCCCTTTACTGGGGCGTGCCCAGTCATGAACCCTGTTATCACTTTCAACTGGTTCCTATTCATTGAGAGTAGTTCTCCAGTGTCAGATGTACTCCACAATCCATTTTTTGTGGATCCTCCGACGAAAGGTACTTGGTAGAGTCGAGAGCGTCGAAAGGAGGAGAAGTGAGAGATTGCTGAATGTTTCGTTCTGGCAAAGCAGGCTCGTATATTTGATATTGTCACCCTGTTTTTTATAGGTTTTTCAGGGAAGACAATCATAATTAAAATCAGGCAAAAACTCATTAAATTACCATTATTGCTCTTGCTAGACCACATAAATGGCATATAATATTGCCTTCAATAAGGAGATGCCATGTTAAACCCTAATCTCAAAAATAGTCGACAAATACTCGGCCACGACATCGGTCATGGCCTTTTGGAGGTCATCATAGGCAGGTTACACTTCCAGAAGGAGACTGTTGGAAGTCCCCCTATATTTTATATGTATTTGTATATTATTTATTGTAAAATTGTACATAATGTAAATAAAGAATTTTAAAAGTAAGTTTGATATTGTCAGATATGCATACTTTATTGATGTTGATGACGACATAAGTAACACTATGAACAACAACGTCATACATGTATGAGTACATTATAACACATACAATCATTCAGCTATTATTATATCATTTTACTTTTAATATTTTTATTAAATGGAAGTAATACCCCGCTAATTTTATTTATATTTATTTGTCAAGCGATTTAAATGAAATTTTGGAGAGACATTTTACACGAAATTCTATATTCTCTTTTATTTTACATTTTTTTTTATTTAAGCTGATTTTCCGAGATATTTTTTTTTAATTATACCGTTTTTTAAAAATATGAATTTTAAACAAAATAGATACTGAAATTACCTTAACTATCTTTAAATTTCAAATTTCTACTCTTTTTCTATTAAGAGGAATCTATTCTCCTATTCGTTACTTGATTTTTATTTCTCAAGCGATATAAATGTATTATGTTTACACATTTTATTCGAAATTCTAAAACACAATAATTGCAATTTTGTGTCTTAAATATTGTAATATTGAAAAATACGTATTTTATTTCTAATTATATAGGGTAGCTCAAAGTATTTCGATTACATATTTTAATAGAGTTAATATGGATTGGATCAGTTACGATTGTGGTAAATAATTTAAAAGTATCCGAATGCCCAAAAAAGTATCCGGTATTAGGATACTTACAAATTTGGTCACGGATACGGATAACGGATACAAATTTTGAAAAGTATCGAGATACAGCTTTCGGATACACATAAAGTATCCGGATACTGTATCCGGATACAGAAGTATCCGGATACTACCCAACTCTGACAATGACTATAATTATTTTAGGTGAATTGGAACAGAGATCCATTGTTACAGCTACTTGTGTTCATTAAGTAGGTAGATGAATGTCTGGACAGCTTTAATGGCAGCACAAAGTTCCTATCTACTAGAAAAGTAAAATGTATGCTGAGTAAAAAATCTGCACATGTAGTATTGGCAAAGGACTTTTGAAATGATTAGAGATTGGCTATTTCTTACATACACCTACCTCTAACAGTCACTTTAAAGGAAGAAAAAAAATTGAATCACAAAAGGGCAGAATTTTAAATCAGGATGCATTGGAAAATAAATTTGGGGACATCAGGTCGGTTTTGGATTTTATAGAGAGATCAATCTCAAGAAACGTTAATTTATCCTGCAGAACAACCAGTAGTTTAAGTAGGATTAGCTATAACTTTATTAGACATTTTCTTTGATATTAAATTGTAATATAGGTACCAATTATTGTTTCAAATGAAATTGAAAAAGAGTTAAATATGAAATTAGATTTTTCATGAGTAAAATGTTATATTCATTCGAACATTGTAAGGTAATCTATAATTAAGGGAATATGGAAAATAGGTATACCCTGGTGGTGTAAGAGAAAGGTAAGGGGCAATGACAAAAAAATAAAAAAATGTATTTATCTTTAAATAGTGTTTATTATTAATAATATTATTTGCTATGTTTGAAAAGTACCTCCTGCTTCCGAACAGATTGAATAGATTAGACTACTAGTTGGAGAAGGTCCACCTAGTAACCAAATTAAGAGACTAGGAAAACTTTTACATGACTGGGGACACAACAGGAATGCACACACACAAGATACACAAACAAACGAAATAACAGGGGTAAGCCTTCAGCAACGTCCTGTTTAAATGATGATAGTATGTCATCCTTCATTCCCTTTTAGAAGGCATGGCATATAAATATATTGATCTTGATTACTATAAGAGGAGTTAGCAGGGGTCTAGCAGGTTTCGATCCAGTTTACAGGATGGGAACTTACTTGACTCCGGCCTTATACATTTGTGTTGAGTGTATGTTTGTTTCGTTTCCATGGTTTCTATTAAAATAAACAGTCATAACATATCCATACCTTTTTGCCAGACTAACATAAGTGATATTTGTTCAAATGGCACTTATGATAGTCTGGCAAAAAGGTATCGATACTATACTTTATAAAATATTTGTTACATTAGTTTTTAAATGTATTATGAATATATAACAACTGTTACTTTCTTTGTAATTTGTCACAAAATGATACGAGGTACTTTCTAAACGAAGCAATTGTAGT